AATTAGGCGGTGTTCTGTGCCAAGAAGCTCGTGAAAGCCTCAGAATCAGTTTTTCGTGATGAAAATCTCATTTTCGAGTAATGACAGTGTGCAGATTGTTGGAGGTGATGGACTGTTTTCAAGGCAGGAGAGCGTGGGCCGATTTTGGCTCAAGGAGCTGAGCGACCACACTCACCTTCGGTCGACGATTTCCTCGTCTTCGTAGGCCTGGTGTGGTTGCTTGGTTTCTTGTGTGGTCGCTGGTGGACTCCCTGGCGGCTTCCTGGTGTTCGGGCCTTTGAGGTGGTTCAGGACCAGGTCACAGTGCAGGCATTTCAGGCAGTGCATGGCCGGCAGCCTGATACCGTCGTCGCGGCCCTGGACGGCTGCACTGTGGGGGGCCTTGGCGGTGGCAAGGGAGGAGCGGGCGCCTGTGCGCCCTCAAACGAGACGCCGGAAGGGGCTCTGCTTTTGGAAGCAGATCTCTTGGGCAGTGCAGGGCCTGTTTGCCATGCTGCGCGTCGCTTCTGCACGGCAGGGTGCGGAGCATGTACGTCATACCCCTGAACATGGATCCCTGGCCCCTCCACCCCCTTCTGAGCCCATTCGTCTTTCAAAATTGTATAGGTTTGACGAACAGCTCCCTCTGTGTGAGCTCTGGACCGATGCTTGTCCAAAGGGCCTGGGAGGCTACCTCACCGTCGGGGCAAGGCCTGTCGGTTATTTCATGCATGAGTTGACCACGACAGACTGTCAGTGGTTACATCCGGACTGCTGTATCGGTAGTGCAGCCTGGCAGACTGAATTTGAACTGTTTGCGGTTCTTTTCGCTTTGCGCTGTTTTTCTACCGTGTTGTTTGGGGGTCAGTACAAGGTGTTTCTCCGAACGGACAACACTGCTACTTTACAGGCCTCCCTTACCTTTCGGGCCAAGAGTGTCACACTTAACCATGTTGCGGGAGAAATTCTCCTTGAATTGGAACACCTCTCGATCGGCCAGCTTGAAGGAAGACATGTTCGTGGATTGCTGAACGACGTCGCTGACAATCTCTCTCGAGGCGTGGTCCCGACTGAGCTTGACGGCGTTCAACAGTTCACTTTGTCTGAGAAAGACCGGCTGGTCAAGAGGTGCGATTGGTCGTAGGAGCACATCACCGCAGACTGCAAGTGTGGGAAAAGCATTTATTTCTTTCCTTTCCTTTGCTTGCGGACCGCAGCCGCCTGGGGGGGGAGTGAAGCTTGGGTCGACCGCGTTCGTTCGTTTGTCGTCACACATGGTGTTCGGGCATGTCAAGAGCTGGTGCGCGAGCAGGCGCTCAGGGTGGACTGGTTCCCTGGGGCGCACTAGGCAGATGGCCAGGTCAGCTTCCGACGGTGGAAGGGAAACTTCCGCGTGGTCGGTAGGTTCAAGCCCATTGACACAGCTGCCCCCAAGAGTGGCGCAAGCACGCGCTGAGCTAGGTTGGGACCATGAGAATTTCATTGTGGTGGCTGACACTGCGCAGGTTGAGGCTGGGGCGGCAGTGCCTGGCATCGGTGGCCTGGTGGGCATGGGGAACCCCGGCAGTGGGGAACCTGTGCTGCTAGACGCTGATAGGCTGGTCCGTCGCAGACGGGGTGGCCCCCTGCAGCCAGATCCTGCGGAAGAGCAGACCAGACCGCGCCCCTCACTCAAGCGGGCTCTTGAGATTGCCAACTCCCCAGAGCTGGTGTATCGCGCAAGGCTGGGATACCAGCAACTGTCGTACGCTGCGGGGACCATCGATACGAAGAACTCCTTGTTTCGAGCATGGTGTGAAATTCTCGGGCAGCATGACTTGGCTCCAGTGCCACTCACCATCGAGAAGTGTCAGTTGTTTTGTTCCATCATGCGTGCAGCTGGTTTCCGGAGTACCTATTCGTATCTCATGGAAGCGCGGCAGAGGCACATCAAAGCTGGATTCTGCATTACACCGCAGCTGGACCTGTGTTTGAAAGAATGTCGTCGTGTTTGCACGCGCGCCATTGGCCCACCAAGGAGATCTGAGGAAGTCAGGCTAGAACACTGGCAACTGCTACTAGAAGCCGATGGAAGGTTCATGACGGCTGAGCGCGCCACAGCGCCGCATGGTGGGCTTCTGGTCTGGGCATTGGGCACACATTACCTCCTCCGGGAGATCGAGATGGCATCTTTGGTCTTCCACAGGGAGATTGTGAGGCTGGACAATGTTGGACGCAAGGCTTCGCTGTGCCTAACGGTGTCCAAATCGGACCCAAGCGGCAGGGGAGCCATGCGAACCCTCCAGTGTTGCGGAAAGGCCGAAGGAGCGTTCCATGGACTTGGTTGCCCGTTCGAAGTAGTAGAGGAACTAGTGTGTCGGCAAGAATTTAGAACTGGCGTCGATCGGTGTGCAGCTCGTGCCTTCGAAATCCCTCTCATTGGCCAAGAAGGGAACCCTATGGCATTTGTGGAGAAGGCGGAGATGATTGCTGCAGCGCAGAGGGATGCTGGGAGGTTGGTTGAGAAGGTCCAGGAGGCAGTGGAGGTTGACCCGTCGCGCATCACTGGGCACTTCATGAGGCGCTCAGGCGCCAAGCTACTGGCAAGGTCTGGTGTTCCGCTGGAGCTGATCAAACATGCAGCCAGGCATTCGTCCAGTGCAATTGAGGGCTATGTTGAGCAAGCGTTGGAAGAGTGTCCAAACGCTGCCACATTGCTGGCGGACCACAGGCAGATGCAGCGTGCTCTCATTGGTTTCAGGAAGGAGGTTGAGGAGCTGAAGGGTGAGATTGACAGGCAGAAGGACACCTTGGACAACATGGCCTCTGTGCCTCAGGGAGGGAACGTGGAAGCCTTGGAGCAAGAGGTGCGAGACCTGTGGGCAAACCTCAGGCCCAAGTTCATTCGCAACCTGGTCTCAGGAGTGGTGCACTCGACTCTAGGATGTCCCTACTGGATGCCTCCGGGAGACTGGAGCACAGCTTGTGGTTGGAAGTGGGCTGCCAGCTCCAGGAACATCAAATATGTCCAGGAGAATGAACTGGGAAAGTATTCGCTGTGCACAAAGTGCTTCCCCTAGGCTTGTTTTCTTTCCGGAGAGCTTCCCTACCCAAAGGAAGTGGGGGATGAATGTTTTGTGCAACAAACTGATCTGTACGGCATCTTGAAACAAGCCACCGTGGCTTCATCTGGGCCCGGGACCCTGGTACCATACGTACAGTTGCTCACTGGTGGGCGGAATAAAATAGTGTGAGGGACTCAAGGCGCAGTTCAGTTGACCAACCACCAACCTCAGT